ACTCTAGCACCGTTGCTTCCTTATCCTGCCATCCAGGGCACCCCACTTTTCCTATCTGTGCAATAGGGACAACACCCTGTGTCAGGCAGGAAGGGATTCAGTGCAAGTGACAGGAAGCCCAGCTGACAAGTGAGGACTTGTCAGCACAGAGCCAGGAGCCTGAGCCGGCAGTTGGTAGTCAGGCTGTGTTTCTCGAGGTGCGGGTGCTCCCTCTCTCCATCCCTCCCTCCTTAGCATGCTGCATTCATCCTCGTGCCTGTTGCCTCATTGGCACAAAACAGCTGCTGCCCTTCCAGACATCACATCTGAGTTCAAGGCAGGCTAAAGGAGAAGGGCCTTGCCAGATTCTTCTGTTCTTTTTTTTAGCAGGAAGGCCCCCCAGAATCTCACTGGCCCCTTCTGCTGGCAGACTTTAGCTCTGACCTACTGGCCAGAAGTGAGCCACACAGTCACCAAGAGCTGCAAGGTAGCTGGAGAGATGAGAGCGGGGCGATCCCACCTGGTCTAACGAGTCACAGCGTGTTGCTCGGGGCTAGGCGTTGTTCCCAAGGAGGAGCAGGAGGCTGGGGACTAGTGAGCAGAGTGTCTGCCTCATGCCCTCGAGTAGTGGACAAGATTCTACACAAGCTCTCAGCACCTTATGCAAAATTTGAATGAGTGGACCTGGCACTCAAAAAAGCCCCTGTTAGTATTTACATTATTATTTACATGTAAGTTCTCTTCCTGTGCAAGGATTGATGGGTAATAACCCTTCCCCCCAGGACATCTTTGGGGAGGAGGCAGGCGCCTCTTCAGAGGCGAAGCCACAGCTGCACCAGGAAGGGCAGGGAGGGGGAGGCCTCCAGCGCGGCCCAGGGCCTGGGAGCCTGGGAGTTGGTGCCTGGCCTTAGCGGTTTGGTGCCCTGGAACGAGCCGCACCTGGCTGGGGTCAGAGGACCTGGCCTCCGTTTGTCCCTGCCCTGACACTAGTCACCTGCAGGACCAGGCCTTTGACCTCTTAATTTTGTCACCTCCACACAATACACATATGATTCTCACACGACAGGGTCACACAGGAAGGTGAAGGGAAAACTCGATGTTGCACTGGATACAAGACATTAGCATCTCTGTGGGAGGAAGCAGGTGCCAACCCCAGAGGCGCAGGGGCCCCCCCGCGAGGCCTGTGCCAGCGCGCGTCTGCAGCGCCTGTACGGGAGGCCTGTGCGCTAAACACGTCGAACCCCCTGCCAAGCTGGGCGCAGGTGATGCAGGTGAGAGGATGGGGAGGCGGCGGTCAGAGCCCACATGCGGGGACCTGGCGACCCTCCCCGTGCCAGGCCAGCAGGCGTTTCCAGGGTCCTCTCTCTGTGTGGATAAGTGCAAACCAAGTCGACCCCCTGGGAAGTCCCCACTGTCCTCCAGAGGTGGCCCCTCACTGAGACCACATTGCCAGAGGGTCCAGTGACCCCGCCTCTCTCAGGGCAGGAAGAGGCTGGGACTGTGCAGGGAGGCCAGTCGAGGAGGGAAAGCGGGGTGAACTCTGGTGCCCTGCAGATCGGAGTGGGTCCCCTAGAAACCCGCCGTCCACTTCACCCAGAGCTGCTCTCTGCAGCCCCAGAAGCGGCGGGGCAGTCCACAGCCTGCACACACAGCATCCTCCGGGAGCTCCGGGCGCGAGCGAGCAGCTGGCCCGGCCTGAGATGGGACCTGCCACTGCCTCGTCCGCACAGTGGCAGGAGCTGGGATTTAGACTGGTCAGTGCACCCTGGGGAGGCAGCTCTCAACACCCGGCCCTGTCGGTGAGGACCAGCCACGTTAGTGTCAACAGGAGCCAGGTGGGAGCTGGGCCAGAGCAGTGCCCCCAGGCCCCAGCACCTGAGAGCAGGGGCGACAGTAATCAGGAGACAGAGAACCAGCCCCGTGGGGACCCTGGGTCAGGTGGCAGCTTGCTCAGAGATGTGGCTCAGAGCACCCCTGGACGGCACTCTGGGAAGGCAGAAGGCTCGTCCGGGGCCCCCGTGCAGCTGACATCCAGGGCGATGTCCCTGGCAGGGCCAGGTCTCCTTCTAGGCGTCCTTGAAGCCTTTTTAACCTTATCACCACACTGATGTGGTCAAAATGGACCCACTGACCTCAGGAAGCTCCCTCCGCGTCACCCCGCGGGGGATCCCCCAGCAGGACTGAGCCTTGTCTCTGGTGAGAAGTGGACTGAGGCATGCACGCTGGTGGATGGTGCCCGGCCTCACCGATGGTTGGATGCTCACTCCACTGGCCGCTGTCCTCCTGCAGGACGGCCCAGGTCTCGCCCTGGGTGGGCTAGTGTTGCAACCCACAGCACTGGGCCCCTCGGAAGACTGGGGAAGGGGCTCCTGGCTACCTCGGGGGACAAAGCTGCAGGAGGTCAGGCAGGAAACGAGATTTCCTGCACTCTCAGTTCCTCCCGACAGAATGAGGCCGTGGTGCCTGCCTCCCTGGGGCGGGGGGCGCGGGATGGAGGCGGTGCACCCTTCTCGCTGCCCGCACCCGGCAGCACCCGCCTGCTCATTCACTCAGTCCCATGGCCATCCCGCCTCTCCTCGTCCTGCCACGGTCCTCACCCGCCGTCCGCGGGCCAGTCGCCTGCGAGGGGGAGGGCAGCTGCTGGGAAGCGCCTGCAGCGGCCCCGGCGCACCTGAGCAGGCGCCCCCCTCCCACCGCCTGCGTCAGCAGCTACTCCAGAGCGGAGACACAGAGATGGAGGTGAGTGAGCAAAAGGCAGCTGCTGGTCCCGGTGGAGCCTCACAGCCAGAGGTCCGTCCCTCTCAGCCTAAGCCGGGTCCTGG